CACCAAAGTGTCCTTCTATTGCCCTAGTGCATAAGGAATATGTGTTTTTATTTGATCTATACCGTTTTTATAAAATAGTCTTTAAGTTGTTTAGGTCCCTAATAGAGCTAGTCCCCACATGACGATGAATTACTTATGCTGATACATAACCTACGGCTTGTTAACAAACAAAGGCACTCCTAAGGAGGTAATCTTTTCTTTTTATTCTCAGTTTACTTCCCGAAACTTATCTGTTAGCCTTGTCTACAATTGAGGGAAATGAAAATACTTTTGAATAATAATAAAAAGTATATTTTCACATGGTAAGCTAATATTAACGTAATTACCCTTTTACATCAATGATTAGTGACTAAAAATCAAAAATTAAACTTAATATTTCATTTGAAGGATCATTAAGTTTTCCTGGCTATATTAGATTAAATCATATTATCTACTTGTGTTATCAGTCTATATAAATACCTGTTTCTTTCGACTGACAAGACTACAAATGAAATATAATAATGAACAGGCATTGAAGAGAGGGATTCGATCATTAGCCTCTTGCCAGCCATGGTGAACCACCAAAAAACGCAAGATTGAGGGATTGATCAGGGTAATAAAATCAGCTGGCAAATTAAATGTAGGAAATTATGCAATAATTGTTTATGACTTTAGATAGACCTATAGATATGCGTCAGGGCAAGTCATTACACAAAAGAGGGCTGCTCATTAACTTTTTTCATACCATAGGTTTTAGGTGTTTACATGCAGCTATGTAAGCCTATTATATTCATTTTCTTAGAAGCACAATATGCAGTACTGGATCGCAGATATGGCCTTTATTTTGGTCGCGGTTTACACAACAGCGGATGTTTTATATATATTCTCACTTACACTTCATGATGAAGGATAATGAATTTTAATTAATTAAGACCTTGACACGATATTTTCTTTAAACAATCACCTTTTTATATTCATGTATTCCTTATTGCTAGACTTCTAATTTAACTATATATGCGAAGAAGATTTGTGTCCTAAAGAATCAACTAATAGGTTAACGTCAATAGATTTTCACTTTAAAAGAAAAGTTGGATGGCCTTACTGAAAATCAAGGGAGGATTGCAGTGGAGTCGTATCTGTCAATTTATACGAAAGGGTCATCGGCGAATTGCCCTACGATCAGCAACCAGTATCCTGAATAGGGGGAATTAATGTAGGAAATTGAGCCGAAACTATCTCTGGCTATTGACCAGGACAAGCGAGAGAGAGCAGGATGGAACACTCAATGAGAGGAGGCCTGAAATGTAGAAAAATTGGCTTTTGAGGACTCTATCTATAGGTTGCTGTTGGAGTATTTTTCATTTCGTTCCTAAGTTGGCCTCATATTAACTCGAAGCGGGGTTCTTTGTAGCTTTGGCTGTAGATTTTTGCTTTTTGAATTTTCGTAAAGTATGATATCCAGTTCCGACGATGTCTTTCCAATAGCTGACAAAACTTTGGCAGAGCTTCATCGAGGTCACGGAATGGTGAGCCTAGACATTATTCACACAAATCTAGAGTCACAACTCCGGGTCAACCACCTTTCGGCTTCCGGTAGCACTAACTTACGAATACCTTCCAATCGCCTCTTCAAACAAAATTGAAGATACTCCAACAACAGTTGATTAGCCCGAGTCTGACTAGGCTTATCATATCTTGTTTGACTGATGAGAATTAAACTTCAAGAAAAATATTAAAATTTCAGTATCATACTACAGGTCAGTTTGGTATTGACAAGTTAGCGTGGCTACATTCGCCTAGCTTTCACACAAGCATGTTGGGATGCATAGGAGGAGGTTTATGAGATCATGAGATGCTCCACCAGGACTACAAAATTATTTTAAAAGTGCTAAGTGCGATTACAGCTGATCACTATTCTTGGCTTCGTTTTTGGTGATTCTCTGTTTCACCATTCGGGAATGTCTATCATGGCAAGACAGGGTGTATGAATCGGGATCGCAGGGCGATACGATGAGGACATCTTCGCTTAAAGCAGTTAGCAGGCAGTCTCCGGTATAATAAAGTTGCTAATTCCTACCACCCAACACTTCCTTCAAAATGAAATATCCACTGGCATAAAATCCTTTAGCCTACCAAAAATGTATAAAAATTTGATGGAATTAGGTTTAAACTGCGCTTACTACCAAAACTTAACTTTAAGATGTACACAACATAAAAGGCGACGGTTAGAGGACGGTCTATGAATGAATGTTGAGCTTACTTCCATTTAGAGTGAAAGTGTTGGGTA